GAGTCACAACTCGATCGAATGATTGATTTCTAGGCGCTTCCCAGTCCCAATTCAGGAAATAAGTCGAAACAAACGTGTTCCCGTGTGTAACACTATTTATCAGTTCTAGAGCACTGGTAAAGCCAAGGGAAGTGCGTTCGATCAAACCATCAAGAATCATCTTTGTTTTTGATCGAAAATCATTCTCAGATATCAAGTAACGATTGACAAAGGTTTTATTGAGAAGTTGGTCGATACTATTGTCAATGACAGTTCGAGAGAGATTGCATAAGGATGCTAGTAGAGCAAAATAAGCTGCACCACGAATTCGAAGATCTGATCTGTAAAAGCGAAACCAATAGCTATTGTCAAAGAGAAAGTTGATCCATGGATCTTGAATGAAATCACTGAAACAAATCTGATGGAAAGATGTGTTGATAGCGATGAAATGTTTGTAAGGTACAGAAATTTGTGAACAATGACATTGTAGATCTCGTAGAGAAGAGGAGGCGATAGTTTGATACTCTGCAAATGATGATACGGGAAATCGACCAATAGTAGTATCTGTATCGGAAACAATGTGAATGGTGAAAATAGTCAAGGCGGTGGTCAAAAGAAGAAGATAGAACCATGTTGAAGCGCGTTCCATGCGTACAGTATTAATTTCATTTGATTCACTATCAAAGAGATTGAGAGTGATAAATTTGTCGCGAACGGTTCTCATCATTCTATGAAAACGATGGTATTGATGTTGCCGATCTGAAAGAAATCCAAATTAACTGAATTTCATAGAGAACAAAAAGCGTTAGTGAGACGAATCCAGAGAATGTCATTGTCTTTTACAGTGCTATCGGAAGTTTTGATTCAGACGAGAAAAGCAATTATGAAGAGTTACAGTGATCTATCATAGGCTCCTACTCTATGAAATATCTATTATTGAATGAAGTTTAGGACATTCCAGAAAAAGTAAGTATGCAAAAATTTTCTTAAGTAGATACTAATTCGAAATAGAAATGAGTCAGACAGTGATTTCGTAAACATCTATACTCGATGCATATTCGTCGGTGGTCTATTCTGATATGCTCACTATTACTTGACTGCCGTGTTCAGACATGATTATACTCAAAACTTTTATCTTACAGTTCGTTGATGATTGATGGTTGTCTTGGTTGGTCTTGCAAATAATGATACGCAGTAAAAGAGGACAAACCAAGCGCAAAAGATTATTCAAACCACCAATGATGCCGATCACGGTACTCAGGATAAAGAACAGATTAGGCCGTGCTCGATAAGTGAATGAACATGAGATTGGACGACATTTTTCATAGAATCGTGCAAAGCTTCTTGTTGGATTCCAGCTTTCGATCATTAGTTCGTTGATGATGGATTGCAATGAAATGTTAATTGCGAAACGACTAGATAATGTCAGATCCAGTGCCGTAGTATTGTTAGGAATAGTTAGATTACGTTTCGAATATTCTACGCGCAATGCTTCTATCGTCTCCTCGCCATAGAGGTCTTGGCAAGAAAGGAACAATACGAAATTAGTTGGCGAACAACTGCTGAAGGCGTTTTTCAACTGATCTTGATCACATCTTCCGTGGCGAGCACAAAAGCACGAGGTATTATCGTTTGTCAGCGATCCTAGACCGAAGGTAATCGTGCGGAAAGTGTTAGGCTCGTAAAAAATTAGTAGGTTTAAATCAACAACGACTAGCCAACTGTTTTGGAAGACGGCACCACTTATATACTGATTGGCTTGTAGCACTGCATTGACAAGCTCCATCGTGTAAATAAAATCGTTTTTGGTCTTGTTCTGCAATTCGTTAATTAATGCTTCTGTTTCTGCAAGAAACTGATCTTCTGAAATGACTCGATTTTTCACGTAATTCATCGTGTAAAAACTTCGAATGGACTCAGTAGTGATCAAGCTAACCAATTCGCAGAATGCACCCATTGTTCGGTAGGAAGGCGTGATAGCGAAAACTGTACCATACTCCTCAACCTTAGTAGTATGGACTCCCAAACTCTGGTACCACCAAGATTGAACAAAATTACTCGTGCAAATCTGATGATAAGTAGGTTGTAGTTGAATAATGTCTTCATAGGAAATTGATATGATTGAGCAGGAACATTCCAACGTGTCAGGATATCTTTTCTGAAGAGCAAGATACTGTTCTCTTGTCGGTGATGGAATAGTTTCACTGAATGTTTGCACTAATATCGACGTTCGAATAAAAACACCTGATAATGCAACCGAGAACGCAAGCAAATACAGTCGAGTTGCGAGACGGCCACGACGAATTTGCAAGGCATTGTGTGACTCTTTAGTAAACAAATTGAACTCTCGAATCGTTCGTACAGCTTTCTGAATTACATTATTCACCTTGATTCCCATAGAAGCTTCTAAACAAGAGATTTGAAATGAGAGGTGAAATAATTAGATAAATATAGAATTCTCATATTACGTTCTTGCTGATGCCATTGATGTTGGCTGGAATTTCGCTTTCTATAGATATACTCGATCATCAAAACCAAATATGGTGATATCAATTTCAGGGCCACTTTTAAGCCTCCAATTAGTGAAATGATTATGGAAACTGTATAAATCCAATCAAATCGGCGTGCATAAGTGTATGTACATGAACTAGGTGCACAGGCATCGTAATACGCAGTAAAATTAGTTGTGTTCACCATCGCTTCGATAAATAGATCATCAACCAACTTCTCCATTGTCACATTCATCGGAAATCGACCAAGTTTCCTTTCATTTAGTATGGCAATCTCTATTGTATTTGGATACGATGATATGAGAAGATCAACACATGACTGATTATAGAAACATTCTAAAGTTGATGCAAACATCATCTGCATGGGTAAGCAATCGACAATCAGACCAGGCAATATCTCATCGGCAATGATTGTATTAAGATCATAGAACCCATCAGTCTCCCATGCATCATATAGATATAAACCGCCAGACATCTGACACGATCCTTGATTTCCACAATAACAGAGTTCTGTTGATCCTGGGCGTTGATATCTTGTTGAGGTAATTCTGGCCATATTTTCTTCTTCTGTGCTAGTAGGCTGTGCTACACTGACGATGTAATTAGTCGAAACACCAGTAAGAAAATAATTGATCAGTGTCATCAGATGAACAGTTTTCAATGGTCGAACAAGTCGATCTGATGCTAATTGATGTAGACTAATGATTGTTGCTTGCACCTCACTGTCAAGCAATCGATGAGACAATAATGTTGAACTGATCAATGGTGAATCCTGAAAATCTTCCAGGGTAATGTCAAACATAAGTTGTGATTGTTGACAAAGGGCAGTGATAAGTTGCCACATTGCACTTAGACTTGTTCGAACATCCATGGGCCAAAGAAGAGTTCGATTACTTTCAAAGACAAAATCGATCCATTGTTGAGAGATGAAATCACTTGAACACACTTGATGGAAAATAGGTGTGACTGTGACGAAATCAGCATAGAAAATGGAGATTTTGGTACATGGGCATGATAATGTGTTTGGATAGAGTAGTTCTAGTTGTTTGTAATGATCGAGTGTAGGTTTGTCAATGGTTTCACTCTTGTTTCGAAGACTGAAGGATGTATAGGTGACTAAGATGAGTAATGATATAAGCAATAAGATAAGAAAGAGACGTGTTGATCGAATCTCACGTCGCTGAACGACGGAATCATTAGAACGAGAATCATACAGATTCAGAGTGATTAGTCGAAGACGCACAGCATTTAACATATTTTCATGTAGCCTTGCTAGAAACGTCTCTCAAGAAAATGAAACGACATCATTTCATATTCCTTCTTCTTCTTCTTCTTCTTCTTTCTCTCTGTCAACAGAGTTTTGCAGTTGATTAGTAGTCCGTTAATATTCAACATCATCGTTCCCATGAAAAAAAATTTTCAAAAAGTAGCGTTTGAACGACAACTTTTTTGAAGAAAACGCTATTTTTGCGTTTAAACGCATTAATATGTAATTAGGACGTGTTTGAATGCATTCTTTTTTATTTGAGATGCGTTTGAACGCATTGTTTTTACTTACAACGCGTTTTTTGATATAGAAACACCACCTGGTATCATCATTTGAACGCGTTTGCTTTTATACGTCCGGACGCATTTATTTTTCATGCATCTCAACGCATTCTTTTACCAAAAAAAATGAATTTTTTACAAACGTACAAGAACGTGTTTATTTTTGAATGTGTTTTTTGCGAAAAACGAGGTTTTTACAAGCGTGTTGGAACACTGTTTTCTTTAATGCATTTTTTCTGAAGAAAACGTGTTATTTCCCAAATAAGTTAAATGATATTTAGATTAATATTTACAGTAAAAACACCGTTTCATGAAGTAAGAGTTTGCTACATGTTAGACAAACATTTCACAATGGTACACTCAAAGATATATGGTTTAAATAGGCCCATTCTGCAGTGGGGTGGGGTGGGTGTGGGGCGTGGGTGAGTGCGGGTGTAACTGTGAATGTGCATGCAGGTGGGTAAGTGTGGGTATGGGTTAATAGAATATTCAAACCCACACCCACATCCACATCCACACTCACTCACACCCACACCCCACACACACACTCACACCCTCTAACTGCACAAATTGCAAGATTGTGATCTTCGACATTTGTCACAAGTGCGCCAAACAACTAATTTGTCTAAAGTAAGAAAAATAAAAAAGAAAGTGTTGTAGTTTTATAAGGGTCATAGCTAGGATTGGTCGGTTCTGATGAATGGATGGAAATAGGCAGAAATGAAAAATATAGAAAGGAGAAATATAGAAGAAAAATATAGAAAGTGGATGATAGAAAAGAAAAAATATCGAATGAAAAAATGTCGAAGCGGACGTATTGAATGAGGAAAAATGTAGAAAAAAAAATCTAAATGAGACATAATATTCATCAACTTGTGACAAATTTTATTTAGCGAAAGAAAAGAACAATAAATAATATCTAACATATAGTTTAAATGTCATCACATAGAGATTAATAATTGTTTATTTTTTTTTTGATTTGCTATTTTTAGCAACTACAAATGATAAGCCTTCCAATAATTCATCGGGTGACACTTCCTTGTTCTCATAACGAGCATATAAATTATCAATACGTTTTTGAATAGCTTGAGTTGTTTTCGTTTGTGGACGAGCTGCAAGACCACCTTTCATTTGAATAAGCAAATGATTAAATCTATTTTCTTCACCTTGTATACATCTGATGAATGTCCATATGTTCGGATGATATTTACATATTCTTGAATTTAACCGATTGTGATACCCTACAAATATATGGACAATAAAAATACTTAATTGCTATCTGATATTAAAAACCTTCACAGTTGTTATTGGTGCGCATTTGTATCCCATACGCATTCCATATTTTTATTTCAACTGTTTTGATCCATTGATTCTCGAAATATGTAAATAAAGGTTCAAGTAACTTAAATGTTGTTGATGATGATTCAAGAACCGAATCATAGAGATTATCAAATGCTTCAATAACTAATGAAAGGGGTAATAAAGCCAAAGCCATAAGTTTTCGACAAATTATTCGAATTTGATCATCATCAACATATGCACTTGATAAACCTAATTTTTGAATATTGCGATAAATAGCTTGGTTATGGTGAAAATAACACCCACGATGCTGACTGTTAGGAAACTAAGAAAAACAATAACATGATTTCTTTAGATTGGATAAGAAAAATACTTACTTCACTTTTTAAAACTTCTACAAGAGATCCTTCAAAATCTGACATGATAGTAGTTGGATTAAACATCATATTCATTTCAGCAGCTTTATCACGTAATCCATTTAATAAAAATTTGTACGTAGGTTTTTTCTGATCAGGTAAAAGAACGAAAACACAGACAAATGCTAAAAAATATAACAATATAAAAAGATTTAATTGAAAAAATGTTTTATATTTACATTGTTCATATTTTATTGAGTGTATGCAGTAAACTTGACTAAATATTGATGGTGAAGAAGAAAACGTACCATCCATTAACACAACTGAACTATTAAACAACATTTTTAGTTGTTCATTGGAAGCGAATACCAACATTCGCGTTTTACGTTTTACTAATTGATCAATACATAAAAATGGTAAACCTTTAATTGTTTTTGTATAACATTCAGGTAAATCAAATAATTGAGGATCAGGAATTGGTGGTGTTTGGCAACGACGTGCTTTGTTCAAGGTGCTACCTAAAGAGTAAATTGTTAGCTGGTAAATAATAAAATTTTTACTGACTCATTTCTCTCTGACGAGGGAACCTTCCGAGGTGCTAAAAAGCTTTTGAGCCCAAATTTTGTCCATAAGTAGGGGATATATAGACTAGAAAAAGCCAAAGATGATATCGGCCCAAGTTGCGATTTGGCTGAGATATCAGCTTTTTACTAGAATTTTCCTATAGGACCC